GGAATTCCAAGCACCTTCAAAGAAAATTTCTGAAATGTCACATTTTTTTTCAAAATCCACTAAAATTCCGATTTACTCTACAGGAATATTGCTGAAGTATTAGGTAATTTCACAAGAACTTTTCGGAATTTCATGAGAAGTTCATATTATTTCAGAATTTCACCTAAATTTTGAGTTATTCCACGGGAATTCCATGTAATTTCACGAAAATTCTTGGGAATTCAATAGAAAATTTAAATAATTTCACAATTATGTAATTTACGGAAATTTTTGCGATTTTTTTTTTCAATTTTACGAGAATTCTAAGTGATACCAAAGAAATTCTTCAAACTGAAATTACCAGTAACTTTAAGGATTTTTTTTTTTTTTGGAATTTTACAAGGATTCCATGTAATTTTACAGGATTTTTTGTTGAAATTTAGCGAAAATTCCACGTAATTTTAAGTTAATATTTTAGAATTTCATAGGAATTTTTCCTGAAATTTCACGAGTATAACTCAAAATTTCGGAGGCATTGAGTCGAATACTCGGAAAATTTCGTCGTAATTCTTTCGCAGTAGGTATCACGTAATTCCACTATAATTCTTAATAATTTCACAAGAATTTTTTTAAGTTGCATGAAAATTTAATGTAGTTTTTGCGAGAATTTTTTGGAATTTTACCAGAATAACTTGGAACGCCGGGAGAATTACGTGGAATTTCCGGAAAATAGATGGAATTTCATTGGAATTTTTTCGAAATTCGACATAATTCTACCGGAATTTCATTGAACTTCCAAATTTCAAAAGAATTATTTAAAATTTCATGAGAATTTCATGAAATTTTTACAGGAATTTTCTAGAATTCTAGGAAAATTAATGAAATTTTATCGGAATTTCACGTACCTAATTCCACTGAAATCCCGAATAATTTCACAAGATTTTTGACACTTGAGTAAGTTGTTAGTAGCTTATTACTTATTACTTAGTTATTTCAAATTTCAATAGTTATGATTATTTGATTAATAAAAATTTGCCTAAATTTTGAAGTATAAGGTAAAATTCAGCGTAACCGTAATGACGGTGTCAAGGTCTCTGAAATGTACTGGAAAAATTCTTTCTTTTAGTAAATAATAAAAAAAAAATTGTACACCAGAATTCTTCGTAATTTCATAAGAATTCTCTGGAATTCTACTAAAAATCCATGTGATTTCAAGGAAATTTTCTGTAACTGCAAGAAATTTCACAAGAATTCCTCGAAAATTCTCTGGAATTTTAAATAATGTCATATTTTTTTTTTTTTGGAATTTCATGAGAATAATTTAAAATTTTGGACAAATTACTTGGAACTCCAGGAAAATTATTGGAATTTCATCGGAATTACATAATTTTACCGGAATTCCACAGAAATTCCACATATTTTTGTTTGGAGTTCTACGTCGTATCCCTAGAATTTTAATAAATTTTACTGGAATTTTATTTAATTGCACACAATTTTTATGCAAATCCGCATAATTTTCACGTAATTCCGCATAATTTCAGTAGCTTGCATAGTTTAGTTTTTATAGAATATTGCGTATTTTCTATAGAATTCCGCAGAAATTCTTTGGACTTTTGCATAGTTTCTATGAAATTTCGCATAGTTTTTATGGGATTTTGATTTTTTTGAAACTCAACGCTTTTTTTGGAATTCTACGTCGTTTTCCATTTAATTTCACTAGAATTTGGCATAATTTTATTGGGATTTGGCATATTTTCAATGAAATTCTGCATACTTTGTATAAAATTAGGCATCATTTCCATGGTATTCAGCATAATTTCAATGAAATTCCTCATAGTTTCTACAGGATTTCGCATAATTTTTATGAAATTTCGCATAATTTTTATAGAATTTTGCATAATTTCTATAGAAATCTATGTGATTTTTTTAAAATTAAACGGTTTTTTTTTCTCTATGGAATTCAGCATAATTTCAATAAAATTTTGCATATTTTTTACGGAATTTCATTTAATTCTATTCAATTTTACTGAAATTTCGCATAATTACTTATAGAATTTTGCAAAATTCCTATAGAATTTCATGTAATTTTTCTAACATTTATTATTTTTTCTTTGGAATTCCACGTTTCCTTTAATTTCACTTGAATTGCGCATGATTTTGATGAAATTAAGCGTACATATTTGAAATTCTATGTAATTTCAATGGAATCCCGCGAAAATTTTAGAGAATTTGGCATAATTTTTATGGAATTTCGCATATTTTCTATGTAATTTTGCTAAAATTGACTTTTTTTTTTGATATCTTATTGAATTTAAATGGAATTCTATGTCATACCTGGAAATTCTAAAAGAAATTACAATATATTTTCGCATAAATTCTATCAAATTTCACATAATTTCTTCAACATTTCTCATAATTTAAATGGAATTCTGCCTAAATTGCCCATATCTTTGTTAAATTTCGAGCAAACTGAAATAAATTATATATCATTAGAAAGAGCATTAAATTCTCTATAAATCTGTGCAAAATTGAGTTTGATAGCTCAGACAGTTCTTGAGCAATTGAAGCTCAAAGTTGACTTCTAGTCCAAAATTTTTCAAAAACTTCAAACTCAATTTGTTGAAAACCTATAAATCTGGGAATATCGTAAATTACAGGCCATTTAGGCCCGTATTCTCAGTCACACCTCAAATTAAGGACCCCTTGCGACTTGAAGGTCGCCTTGAATAAGGACTTCTTATTGAAGGAAGCCTCGTCTTAAGTTTTGCAGCTGACAACACCGCTTTCTACGAAATTGCTATTGTCATTGTCATTAGGTTGTCATTGTTGATATATGGTTCAATACTTTTTCGCATAGAATCATATATTAACAAGCTATAGCTGTAGAAATAGTGATTTTTTTGTGAAATTCATGCACAAGTAATTATGGCGACCAAGTACACCGAGAGAAAATGTTCCTGGTCCAGATGGTAGCTCAGCACAGAGTCATAGTGGAAAATAAAGAAATAGACGCCGTATTATTGGAGGAAAAACAGGCTGCCTGGGGATAAAATTTGTAGTTCCTTGACCATTTTGTAGATAACCCACAACCATGGAGTTGTTTCGCGATATAAAAATAATAATTGACAAAATATTACGTAGTGAAGTCAATTATTTTTAAAAATTAAAGAAAAAATAAAATTATATATACAATTAATCTATTAATTTTTTGATTTTTTTTACATTTGTCTTTTTTAATGTCTTAACTTTTCAATGTTTCAACTTTCTGTTCCTTTTCCTCTGCCAAATGCGGAGTCTAGCGACCTAAAATAGTTTGTAATATGTGAGCGATAGCCCCTTATGAAGAGGTCTTCTAGCCCCGAAACATGTAGGGCGCTTTAAATTGATCAAAGTAATTTGTGGAGGAGGGCTTTGTGTATTCTTTTGAAATCAAATTTCAACTTTACTTTGAAAGATGGACTACTTCTTTAATTTAGAATTCTAATGGATTCTGCATGTCTCGAATAAACCTTCTTGGCCTCCGCAGCACAACCCTCGTGTGGCTAAATTCAGCAATGCCACGGATGCGGTGATTTATCGACTAACTAATGCATGCTAATGCCTGTTTAATTCAATACTGCTTTTTCTACCATTCCACCACGGTGCCTGCACTAGCTGAATCAAGCATCAGCAGCATTTATCTCTACAAAAAAAAATCCAGCTCATCCATACCAATTACATCGGTAAAATACAGTTCACGTACAATACGTATCAATTAGGTTCACGTACTGTCACCAATAGGTTAGAAAACCAGCCTCAAGGGACCTCTGGACATTCCTCAAGTCAAGTAAGGAAATGTGACAAAATAAGCATAAACTCCGATAAGGACGCCTTGACAATTTTGACTCTGAAAGACAATTTACTGCCAAGGAAACCTTTAAGGAATCCTCAGCACTCAAGTAGGCACTATGAATACCGGGCTTAGAGCCTAATAGGAGCTACAAATGCTGAAAATTTCAATGTAATTTGCTCAACGGTTACCGAGCAATCGAGGTTTAAAGATTTTGAAATCAGAATTCAAAGGGGGTAAAGTCCGACAAATACCATTTTAAAGTCACGTGATATTGGTGGCAAAAAACGTATGTTCGTTGATTATGCCGTTGATATCACCTACAAAAAGCTACTTGTGGTTAATTACTATTGAATTTTAAGATATGTTCCCACTAGCATTTTACAAACGCGTTTCTGAAGTAGTATTCACCAATCAGATGAGAATTTTAATACTTGCAATTGTTGCGAGACTCACTTTTGTCGCTTCTGCTGCCCCTTGTAATACATTCTGAACTTGAATTGGGTACCCGTTTTCTATTTGCATCTTTTTGAGTTGGAAAAAGGTTAATATAGTCAAAATTATTAGCTGTGTTTGTTCGTTGTAACTATCACCGCTGTTTGAGATGTATTCAACAAGGATAGAGAAAAATCACGTGACTTTAAAATGGTATGTGTTGGACTATACCCTTATGAAAACTCGATTTTTTAAAGTGAAACTTCTCAGGCGGCGCGCGGTCTGATATTTGGACGAGAATGGAGAGTGATCTAAAAAACGCGTCATGTTTTGGAAAATTTCGTTACACGAGAGAGAAAAAAAAAATAACGTAGAGGGACAGAGGGAGACAGCCAATGACAGCCGACGAACGATTGACGCACAAACCAAGGATTATAAACTATTATTGTCAAGCGCCGATACCTTTGTGACGTCACTACAGATGCACGTCTGTCTTTTGTGTGGTCTTTCCTGCGTTTCTACTAAGGTCGTCATACGTTAAAATTTTGTACTTTAGATGGGAGTCAGGAGGCGGCGAAAATTGTCTTGGCACACAGGCAGCTAACACCCTAGCGGCGGCCCTGAAAACCTCGTTACCAATACTTCTAGACAATGACAATTTTATTGAAATATTTATAATGTATATATATGCTTTGTCAACGAGACTACTGTCTTAAGATAATAGAGCTTATTTTGAATTCAACTCCCCAGTTCTTACCCTGATCTAACTTGATGATCAACCTCAGGCCAACTCTGTCTCCTACAACAAAAATTCGAAGGCCTTTCAGGCGTAGTCTTCGGCGATCTGACTCGAAACGATCCAGGCCTGCGCACTGGCGGCGTAGGTACTAGCGCTTCCAAAGTACTGCGCCTGCGTTGCACAAGTGCAGTAGCGCCGGGAGCGGGTAGTACTTTCGGGAATCCCGGTGTGTTACTGTCACCAGAATTGCTACGCGAACATGGTGACGGTCCCGACGAACTTTCCGAAGTGTCTGTGCGACTAAGGGAGAATCTAGAAATAAGTTTTATGGTCAATTAACTTTGCCACAAAGTAGCTTGTAATTTACAAATTTAGTTCCCCAAGCTCGAGAAAAAAGACATTAGACGAGACGCAAGAAAAAGTAATTCTATTAAGCTGTAATGCGATATTTCTCATTTTTATTATTACGCTAATTTGTGCCTGGTCCCCATGCGCCATGTAAATTTCAATTTAAGATGCATTCAGCTAGTGAAAAGTGAGTTAATAAAGAGTACAAACCCTTGAAATGAGCAATTACAGTATGTAAAAGCTTTAAAAGGTTTTGTGTTAACGAAGTGCAACTATGAATTCAACCTAATTGCTAACCTTATTTAGTTGCACTGCATTTTGAACAAGGTTGACTTTTAGAAAGTTCTTACCGTTTGGGACTGAGCGATAATCCAGCGACGCTATTGGTGACATATTCCGAGAGGGAGTTGAAAAAGCTCATTTTTCACCAGTCCGGATTTGGGAATTTCTGGAAACAAAAGAAAACTCCATTTTAATTAAGCTCATAATGGAACAATAAGAGTGGCCGTTTTTTTTTAGAGAGACAGGCTTTCTCTTCTCGTTTCCGGCTCCGTTTATTGATAAAACTTTTTTGGGGGAAATTTTAATAAGTTCTTAGGGTTTTTGTTGAAGTTTATTCATGTAGATATTTAGAGCTTACACGAGTTCAAGCTTAGTTTTTATGAAAAAGCATACTATGACAAACTTCAATGAAAAAAATATTATGTGACTGTCCAAGTCTTGTGCAATCTCGATGTTTGTGAATTCGCCCTTTATGTCGTTTACACAGGAGGGATTCATGTCACGTTGCCAAATCACATTTAACTTTCGTGTCAACTTCTTTGCATAGAATCTGGTTTTTTCCAAATCTGACATCATCTCAACTTCTTCAGAGTCATTCTGACAGATAAATCGTTCCACCACGAGGTGGAGAAATTAACTATGATTATTATTATTATAAGTTGCTCACTGGAAAAGGTTTATGTTTCTTTACTCTATAAACATATATGTCCGTATTTTCTCGTTAAATTCGTGTCCTATAATCATTTCCTGTGTTCTTCTTCGCAAACAAATCGCGTCAACAAAATTAAAGCCCTTAATCCGATCCCCCCGGAGCTTAAAAAAATGTTTTCAGCCATGAAAAGGACACGAAGAGCGGAAATTAAGCACACCCTGCTACGCGCATTTGCATCGTTACGTCCTCCGATGAAGTTTTTCACGCCTAATTGACTATACTATATATGCATCTCTTTCGGAGATAAACGAAACGAAAGTTCGAATAAACCCATGACCCAATTAGACTTCTGGATAATTTCGATTTGATTAAAGCTTGAAAGGGGAATGGAACTGGATTTTATGTGGATCAAAGATAAATATTCATATATAGCCTGAGCATTAATTTTGCATGATATAATTTCCAGAAAAAATATTATATAGACATTAGAATGTGAAGCTTTTATATGGATGTAGCCTCAGGAGGGTAACTTCCGAATGCGGGAAATTTAATATGTATTCAACAAAAAGGCAGTTATGAATATGAAAACTGAAAACTCATATATTACATTCAAGTTTTATCAATTGATTATCAAGAATTATATGGAAGGACAAACACAGCTTTTTGATAATATTTGCCGGAGTCTCGGCCCTTAAACATCGCTGGCCGAAAAGTGAGGTTATGGTTTGATATGTTTCTCACTTATACATTAATATCCATATCTGCGGATTTGTGTATTGTTTGTACCAACATAAAACAACCAATAAAAATCGATGTTTATATCAGTTTTTTATACACAAAAATATTTTTTATTGCATAAGAAGGCCGTAAACCTTGAAAAATGTTAGACAGCTACACCCATTGTTCGAACCTAACAAATATATTCATCACAGATGTGACTTTTAAGTATTTGATTATTGACTCAGAACCAACTAAAATATTTCTAAACATAACTAGGTGTTTGAGACACAAACTTCCTATTTCGAGGTGTGTGTTAATTAACCCCCCAGTTTATATCGTTTCAAAAACCACACAGAGCCGTGAAGAAAGCCACACAACCCCGTATCCACATTACGGAGAACATTATCGCTGATTGAGAATAGGAAATTTCTGGAAATTCTGCCCGACTTCTCGCTAGGTAGCTTTGCCGTTATTTCGGCGGAAACGTCTAAATGGATTAATTTGCAAAATAGAGCCTCCTATACCATCGTCTGATTTGGGGCTTTGTGCGACAAACCACAACGTGACTTTCCTTGTTTATTTGTGCGTGAATGAGCCAACCAAGATTATTTGTTTGGAATGCCAATCAGGATTTATAAATATATACGAGGAAAGAAATAAACTAATTTAGGACGACAATGGAAAATTAAAATAATATTGTTGTGTAACAAAACGGCCCAAAAGTCCATTTTTCTTTGATTCGTAATACAATTAATTGTTTTTTTCCCAGCGAGATTAAGTCGCTAAATTTCTAACGAAACCGTGTCAACAGCCAAGGGTTATCAGTCGGATCCCGAAACGCGATTGTGTCTTAAAATACGACTCTCGACTTCTGGTTCCATTAATAAACTGCATGTTTTGCGACCGATAAGAATCCCAAAAGCGTCATCAAGCGGCCAATATAAATAAGCCTGTGAATCTCCTAGATTCATTCAGTTCTGTAACGAAGTTCTGGTGTTTGGTGTTGACGTTTCTGCTGACTCTCTTTCCGAGATCTTAGGTAATGTCTCAATTTCAAGTATTTTAATTTATTCATCATGATTGTTGTTTTCTGTCTATTAATTATTTTCTCCCCTGTGTAAAGAACAAAACCATTGGGTTAGCTTCACAACTCAAATCTCTTTTTCAACATGTATCTTACCCCGAATAATAAGGCCGTTTTGTCATTCCCTTGTCGAGGACGCCCGTGACTTTTACCCACTAAGAATTATAACCTAGTCTTTATTTTCTGTATCTTTTAATCTTCAATTTCTCATGTAACTTTTACCATCAAAGAACGCCCTATACAGGACGCTCATTGATTTCACTCCCTATGAATCCAAATCTCCGAATGTATTTTCTTTTATTTCATTTCAGTAAACATTGTTAATAACATACTGTATATTATTTGCTTTTCTTTCATTACCTTACCAAGATTTACCATTTGTTCGATAAACCATTATTAGAGTTTAGTAAGAAAAACTGATTCTTTTATTTCCTTTGGAAAACCCCGAGCTAGCATGCCAACTAACTGCGTACAGCTCAGGTAGCAAGAACCCGCACTGGAAAAGGCAATCTAATCAGATTACCAAAAAGTATCTGTTCAAAGTTACCTAGATTTTCAGTGGGACTTTAACCAAAGTCCCTGGTGGCGCGCTACCGCAGTACAAAAAGGCCTTTACCAATACTAAAATAAAGTTTCCCTTACCCAACCGTCGCAACCAGGTGGCGGTGGTAACAGTTGCAATACATACATACATACATACAGTAGAGGATATTGAAGATAGGCAATTGATTTGGTTGATACATTATGCAAAAAATGCCATAACGGCTATGGATGTGAAAGAAGCCAACCCCAGAATATAGGCTTTGCAAAAGCCTTAATCTGGGAACCCACTATAGATATAAGAGGAAGCACAATAGATCTAATAGGTCGCGGTGAGGATAGGTCCACAACCTGAACACCCCAACCATCACAATCTAGAGAACAGAATAGTAGATGTGGGAACTGAATACCATTGACAATCTATACCCACACGGCAACTGAAGAAGGCAAATGTAGACCATGGCATGCTCGGGCAGGAAAAATGATGAAACCTTTGCCATTAGAGAAATATTGGTATCTGATTGAACATTCGGATGAGAGCTTCAAGTATCAGATTGGAACCAAAAGTTCCATGGTCCTTCGGAACAGGATTTCTACGTCGACGCGGCAGATACGCTCGAAGAAGCCATCAATCTTCAGGCAGAACTCATAGGGATGTTCAAATCTGGAGGATTCATCCTACGCAAATTGTCCAGCAACCATATACAGATTCTCAACTCTCTTGATGAAAAACTGCGAGAACAAAAATTTTCTGAAGACGGCGCTCGAAAATCCTTGGGAATCCACTGGGCACCATATGATGAAACCTTCAGATTCAAAACGCAAGTCAACATGGAACAGAAAGTTACCAAACGTATTATTCTCTCCGAAGTTGCGAAGCTATTCGATCTGTTAGGATATTTAGCTCCAGTATTCATAAAGGCAAAGCTCTTAATCCAAGACCTATGGTTACAAAATTGAAAATGAGATGATTCCGGCTAACATCCAGACAAAATGGAAGTCATTCCAGGCTGAACTAGAGGCCGTGGAAGACATTATGCTGTTCCGATGGACCAATCAAACGACAAACAGAAGAAATTACACGCAATCTGCGATGCCTCTGAAAGAGCGTACGGCGCTGTAATTTATCTCAAAGTTAACAGCAAGGAAGGACTAGAGTAAAAATCAAACGAGAAGAAGCCACTGTCGTCAGCGCTGACAAAGAAAGCAGATTTCCTTTTCTCTGGGTCCCTCCCATTTAAAGTGAGACAAACGATAACGCGTGTGGCTTCTTCTCGTTTGATTTCTACTCTACCTGTTCGCGCATAGCTTAGTTTTCAAACTAATTTAATTCGTATACTTGATTTCAAATTTTGGCGCCATACAATTTCAAGTTTTATATGGCACGAGAAGATTTGATGCGCTTCCCAGAAATCAGCGCACCAACCAGATTTGTCAGTTGAGTTTTCAGAACCATCAAACCGATCCTTTGAAATTCAGTTAAAAATTCCGTTAGAAGATATTTTAAACCTAGTTTATGTGATTGTGTTCGTCGAAGAATGGATAGACCATCCAAGTGCACCTGCAGGAAAAGCAAACGTCGTTGGAAGAAACAAGTAAGTGCCTCCATTTTGTTCTTGGATGGCTCGTCTTCAAATATCATAGTTTTTATTTTTCGGCAAAAATTTAGATGAATCAACGCGTTTACAGTCCCGCGGCTCTCATTATCGAAGATAAATCGAAATTCAACATCAAACGAACACTACCCATAATATCACTTCTCACAGCCAAATCTAAAGTTGCTCCCACCAGAACAAGAACTACATTCCCAAGATTAGAGCTATGTGCACAGGGTTGGACGAACTTTTGGAAGTGGGCCGGGAAATTTCAGTCGAGTATCTGTATTTTCATTTATATATACAAAACCAAACATTGTTTGCAGCGTACAAGTGAAGAACACTTTTTTTAGAAAGTTCTAATTCATGCCCTGTATCTAATCCTGTGTCATTTATATCATCTTCATCTTCATCGTTTGATTCAGGGAGATCATACAACTTAACCCGGCATTACACGCATCAAAAGACTTACGTCATTATACGCGTACGGTCAAATTGACTGATTACCCAAATGTTCATATGAATAGCTTTTTTCGCGGAGACGATCCCAAACGTATCCTAAACGCTAAGGCATG